GGATGTGAAGTCAGCTCAGCGCGGCCCTTCCTTCCCTATAATCAACTTTTCACACTTGAGTTATAATTGCGCCTTGTAAGTAGCGGCATTCAACCCTGTAATCCAGCGGAGTGGCTGCGTTTTCAGGATTGATAACCGGATTCCAGTGGATCCTTCAGAGAAACGCTTTTTGGCAACTTCCTGGTTGGGGATGGTGGCTCGGGCCTTATCTGAACCCTGTTTCTTCTGCCCGAATGACAAATGGGGACGCCCACCTAATGTCTTTTAGCTATAAAACATGCCTACTTATAAAATATCAACAGGCCTGTTTTATAGATGACCAAGTTCCTGTGCAAGTGAGTGCAGGAGAGGACACCAACGCCTGCGCGGCACATGCCACACCTTCTCTCTCTCTCTCTCTCTCTCTCTCTCTCCCTCTCCCTCTCCCTCTCCCTCTCCCTCTCCATCTCTCTCTTTCTCTCTCTCTTTGCACACTCACAACACTTCAGCTGCGATACAGAGCCAGGATGTCTGGGAACTCGTCTGGTTGCGATGACTGGAATAAGTTAAGTAAACCGTCTCCACGTGTCGCGCACGTACAGGGCATCAACGAGGGGGGTCTCGGGATTCTCATGCGTGGTGGCCCCACATGGGTCACACTTAGAAGAAACCAACGAAACGGGGGGATGGGGGTGGAAGTTATTCTGTCAGTTGACAAACCGCGACTGTTGGAGTGTCGTGATGTCTTATTGTCTATACGACAGTTCAACCGTTGTTGCCGATGATGTCCACCGTGTGCTCCACAACATAGTAAAGCAGGGACGGCGACTTGCGCGTGAATTAGGCGCAGCATCTGCGGTACCCTCTCCTCCTCCCTCATCGGGACCCGGTGTTTATAATTAGGGGAGGTCGCACAGGAACGACCTGTCTGAGTGCGAGATTAGACCCATCGTGGCATGGGACTCCGTCTGCCCCGTGCCATACGCATGCACGACGCTGGTTAATGGCCCACACTGTCGTCCAACGCCTGTGGTCACGTTCTGGCCAAAGTCAGCAACTGCGTAGCCGGTTTATGGACGTCCGGTGACAGGCCAGCCTGATAACGAGACCTAATCAATGCGACAGGTATAGAGCAAAATATCGATAATAACAGGGCCGGCGAGTTAAAATGCGGTTTGTGACTAATAAGCATATTCCACAGATTTATTTCGCAGTAATCTCTTCCAGACTTTTAGATTACTCGAGTTACCCGACGTTATAGCTAGAGTACGGAGAATCCCCTGGCTGGCGAACAGATCCGATCATTGACAAAGTCCATCCATTACCATAGCCACCGGACGATGCAACTGTCGCAGCCGGCCTCCTAAGGTCACCGAAGCGTTCTCGGTGACACCTGGAAGGGAACTTTTTTATGGAACGAGGTGAGACATACTAATTAACCGTCGGGCTTCGGCGGAAAGCTGAAGTAGATAGACGGGTGACCAGGTGTCCATCTACGAGTAAAACTTCTTAATGCAATCTCTGATTACTGGGTCTAAATTTAGAGTAGATTAGGGCCAAAAACGATAACATTTGTCTGCGACATACCTACAATGACGTTCTCACCCAAATTCCTTCTCCGGTTGGCGTGCGCAATTTGGCGCCTGAGGCTTAGATCAACTCAACTCCCCACTCTGTCATTAATTAAAAGCATTGAAGCCTGTTTTTCCGGGTTTTCTCGCCCGTGATTATGTCTTATAAACTTCCCACTAAATGTAATACAGCAGCACTATCGTTTTAGTGTCAGAAAAGGACAGCGCAGTCCATCAGTGTAATTTCGGACTTTTTCCCTCTGGAATCACCATAAATGCTAATTCGGGTCATTATAGGCAAAGTCCTGTCTCCAAATATATGACCTTGGTTTGGAGTATGTTGAGGTTATATTACTTATTGATAGACTTGACAGTTTTCCTGCCGAGACTAATCATCTCTAACCAGACAGCTCTTATTCCAAAGTCAGGTTTCCAGCTGTTTACGCGACCACAAAGGGATTTTTGAGAGCTGGAGCACCATCAGAAACCACGGGGCCCCCCTGAGAGACAAAGTAACCTGCTGGAACCCTCATAAAATTGAGATGCCGGTGTCCGGACTTTAATGGATTAAGTTTCCTCATGTCCATATTGCCATATTTACTGGGGCTAACATACCGTGGCTATTTCTCCAACGTTAAGACCTGAATGTACCTGAAAGGTAGTCTGCGGACCACTGTACCGCAGTGTCAGAGATTAATTGCCAAAACCTGGAGGGGTATCGTCACTGGATATTTCTAACTCACCGATCAGCAAGGCGCTGAGCTAGTGCGTCTTTGAAGCCAGTACGATTCGTGTGTTCATTTCATGACCCTAGAACGGGTCATGCGATAGATGCGTTGGACCAACAAGGGAGCTAGTGCGTGTTCTTTGAAAGGCGCACCCAGGTGCAAGCTCGCACCGCGCCAATTGGGATCCGAACCGCCCCCTTTTTTCCTCGTGTTATGAAATTCCGATCTGTGTGCATTGTGGACCATGGGGCATGGTGGCGCGCGCTTAGATGCGAGGTTTTGCCGTATCAGCCACCTACGCTCTCTCCCTCTGATGAATTTCTTGACTATGTCTGGACACCGGGCCCAGGGGGGGAGGAGAGAGCGCGGATGATGCAGTGTAAGTCCACTATCACAATAAAATAATTCACGCGCATGTCACCGTCCCTGCTCTCATCTTGTTGTGGGGACATACCGCAAGTATCATCGGTCACGACTTTTGCACTGTCGTGTGGTCATTCCAGTTCTCGAGATTTTTATTTTAATATTGTTTGCTTTAATACTGTACGTGCCTCTCGTATAAGGTCCAGGCTCCCTCTTATAAATTAAAATGGTCTGCTATTCCATTGCAGGGATGTTAAACTCATTTTTTGAGGGACCGCCCGGAGTCAATAAAAGGAACTTCGCTTGTGGGCTGATGTAGCTATAGATGCCGTCAATCCTAGACGTCCATCTTGTGGTCGTTTGTTTCCTCATAAGAAACTGTTTGGAACGTCGTACGCAGAAAACGAAGTATCTTGGCTCATAGGGTTGCTGTTTCTTTTTGCATGAAATAGGGCTCCCTAATGCTGAAAATGCGTGTACCGACAAGGTTACAAGACACTAGAGTGACCACCTGCGGACGACACACCCAAATCAGGTGCTTACCCAACCGAGGTTTTAGCCCGAGGTTCTAGACGTTCACTGAGCATTTTAAATCAAACACTCCCGCCGTGCGTCGGTTGGCCGTTCCAGCCTCCCTCGTCTCTCTGCGACACATCTGTCGACTGACCCTTGTACTGCCTTTGATTCGCCAGTATATACTCAGGTCCGACTTTTGAAGGGTGATGGTCCAAGCTAAGCGCAGAGCTGCTTCTCACCCGTCTGGTCCTTAAGGATTGCGTTAGTCTGCTATGTCATGGTCCAACAAACCATGGCTCTCGCAACCTGGTGTGCACTGGCAGTTCTCTGACATCTGGTTCCCTGCCAGTGGATGCGCTTGTGCTACCGCTGTGTATACAAATCGTGAACATGACTGCCCAGTCATTCTCCGCTTTCTGACCCGTTGTGGTGCTGTTGTTGTTGGTCAAAATCCTGGTCAAGAGTTCATTGTGGTCCAGGGGAATGTAGTGGCACGTCAAGGCGCGGATCCACCCGCGCCAGTCACCTACACCCTCCCTCACCTCCAGTCTTCTTGACAATGTATTAACACCAGGTTTGCGCTCCCGCTGGGTGGACAAGTCCAGTGCCCACTCAACCTCCTCTTTCTGACCTGCTATTCTGTTGTTGCTGGTTAAAGTCCTGGTCAAGTGTCTTTTGTGGACCAGGAAGTGTGAGGGTACGCCTAGGTGCTGGTTTGGCCGTCCCGACCACCTGCGCTCTCACCTACCTCCGGTCTTTTTGACTATGTCTTGAGACCGGGCCCAGGTGGGGGGAGGAGGAGTTTCATCGGCGGCACCTATAATAACACCAGACCGATGAACTCAACCCTGCTGTGGCTGTTACTATTTCCAATTAAAGCAGAACCCTGAGCGCTTGGATAATTGGGCAATGGGTGAATTCGGCCACTGATTGGGCAGAGGCTGGCTCATGACGGCGAGCAAACCTGAAACGAGTTGACACACACTATATCGACAGATTCGATCTTCTTACACATCCAGGACGGTCTCGTCAACTACCCTAACTCGGAGGACTCGGATACCGAACAGGAAGACGATCAGGACGCCGGCACCACTTCCTCCTTCTTCTTCTCCAGGTCTCCGGCCACCGACTCGCTTACTCCACCTGATCCCCCCTCTCCAAGTATGCCATTCGCTAGGCATTGAAATTCCTGCATCCCACTGATCGATGCGACTCCAGCCCACCCTTTTCCCTCTCCCTCTAGCTGATTTTTGGCGCACAACGGTCTCAGACAGGGAGCCGGTGTGTGTCCAGGAGCCTGCAGACACACTGTATGCCTCCCCTGCCATTGCGCGCCCCCCGAGTCCGCCCTGGCAGCCTCCTGAAATCACCAAACCCCGAGCGCCGGATGCTGGCATTGAGATGAACGCATGTGCCTATCGACACCTGGAGAAAAAGAAGAGGAGACGCCTCGACTCTGCGATATCCGCCAAGCCTGGAGCGGAACAAAAGTCGGAGCCTCCTCTCGCAAATGTCCCTCAGAAAGTTGTTGCCAGTGAAGAATTCGCCTCCGAGGAGGCAGAGCAGGACGACAACCTCTTTAAACGGCTCTCTTTTTCCTGTGAGGTGAGACTGGATACACATGGAAACTTTACATTATTTTATGTGCTCTATTTTGCCTACTTAAGCCCTTTTGAGTAGCAATCTTTACTAGATCTAAATATTGTTTCAGGACCTCCCATCTGGCTCATGGAACACGGACGATTTCTACCCCCGCTGTTCGGTCTGCTGGCCGTTGTTAGCTGTCAGTTGTCCCGTTGGCAAGCTGAGCGGGATTCTGCAGTTCGGTGTACAGGTCTGGAAATTGGATGGTGAACCTCTGACAGCCCATCGAGTCGCAACCTATGGCGACGCTGGCACGGCTCCCCCCGGACGGATTGTCTGGCTGCGACTCTTGACAAAACACTGGCTAGCGGTAGCCTACGAGACCGGCTTTCTTTGCGTCTGGGACAATGTAAAAGGTAATAGTTACGATTCATTCTCTTCCTCGTGAGGTGTTGTGATATCCGCACAGGGCTGTCCGAGTTAGCCCTCTTCGCTTTCCCAAAAGTTTTGAGTATATCTGACGATGGACTGCTGCACGAGTCGTAAAGCTTAGGACAATGGGCAAAATATTCCGGTGCTCAAAACCTCTTCTTCTTTTCATATCCGGGCCCCACTGATGTAAATTGAATATTGCCTCCAGGAGTTGCGGCTCGAACCCAGTTTTATAGGTGATTGAGCAGTTATAAGTCCAACGCTCTACCTCTCGATTGCTTTGGACTGCGTAACGTCTATTAACCGAAGAATCCGGGTTTCTGTCCCGCGCTATCTAAGCCTACTGTCGGACATGACTGACTGACGATGGTTAGAAAGTCAAAAATGACCGCCTTTCGATTTGGTAACCGTGCATAACATGCAAGCCGTGCGACCAAACAACCCTAGTTTAAATCCCGGGTTATCCGACCCCTGGGTTGAGGGGGGGAGGGGGAAAGTTGTGGCTCGCCGGTGACGACTGACAGAACGTTAATGGTTATCGCGTGGTGCTATTAGTTAACTGCCGGATCATTCCACTTGGAATGTCCAAGTACGAATCTCCGATTATCCAAACCTGGACCAAAGAATTCGGGTTTCTGTCCCGCGCTATTTAAGCCTACTGTCGGACGTGACTGACTGACGTCGGCTAGAAAGTCAGAAGCGGCCGCAACCGATTTAGCCACCGTGCGTAACATGCCCATCGTGCGGCAAACGATCTGAGTTTGAATCCCGGGGTTGAGGGAGGGCGGTTGTGGCTCGCTGATGGCGAATAACAGAACCTAAATGGCTATCACTTGATGCCAGTAGTTAACTGCTACACCATTCCACTTGAAAGGTTTAAGTACGAATCCCTGATTATGTTAACCAGGCTGGCGGATGACGGCTGACAGTGAACTGGTGCCTGGGCAAAATCCTGCCCCGTGGTGTTTTGTGGCGCGGGCTGTTGGTGGGGGAAGATGTAATTGCGTGGTGTAGCTGGCGGTTGTCAACAGCAGGTTTTTGTGAATATGCCAGTGTCTCAATAGGGGCAGATGAGGTGGATGCTCCAGACATTGGGCGATGAATTCGCAATAGGCTTGGCCGATGCGCGAGGTGAATGTACTGGGACAGTGTGGAGTGGAAATGTCGGCGGTGTCGGCGTCGGTTTCGGTGACCTTTGGCACGCCCACGCATGTTAAATGAATGCCGCCCAAGCCCCGTTGTGCGAAATCATGATGCTTGTGTTTGGGCGGGGGGGCGCGCAGACAAGGTTACTAGACATGTCAGCCACCGCACCCATTCCCCGCACCTGTCAATTGACCGGTTCGAACAGTGGCTGGGGCCTGGGAATGGGAAGGGAGAGTTAGGTGTACGATCCAGTGCATTTTCCTCATTGAAAACAATCTGATGCGCCCGAATCTATCACGACGCCCTAAAAGTCGTGGCATGGAAGTCTGCCTACCGACGGGATAACTTCGTCCTCCTCTCATGACGGCTCCGTCCTCTGTGGCCCTCAGCGGGGATCCGAGTCGTCCCACCCCTATTCACTGTCAAAACCTGATCCATCGTGCTCGGGTCAGGCGCGTTTGGCACGCGCAGATGGGCTGTTTAGCTACTGTGCCCGACCCATCCTCCGGTCTCCTAGACCCCGGTGGGTGGACGACAGAGTGCGGTAGATGCAGTGCAAGACTACCATCATTGTACACGAATTCACGCGTCCAATTTGAAGTTCCTAGCAGTACTTTTAACTAGACGAGATTATTCAATCTGGTTGCATCATAGTTTGTCTTGGAACTTAGTACTGCGCCATTAAGCTTTAGGTTGAAAAATTGTCTAGCCAACCAGGTTACTTTTACTACGGAAAGAAACTGCGACTTAAGTCCAGAACGCCAGAAGCCGCCGCAGGTAAATGAAATTTCTTACGTAAAACCACATAAATTTCGGTTCATTAGCGTAGGTCGTTTTCCCGTCTATAGCTGCTAGAGCTCCCCACCAAAAGCTGGCCGACGACGATTAACAGAACGGAAACGGTTATTCTAGTCTGGCCTGTTGTCAATATTCGTCTTACATTTCAACTCATTTCTAGCTGATTTTCGGCGTACTTACAGGTGAGCCGTTCGTTACAAATTTCGCACTTCCGAAACCTTGCATATTTTAAGTGACAAATATTTTCGTCTCAGGAAGCTGGACTAAAAATTCCACAGGGGAATAAAAGAGCAGAATAAAACAGTAGTCCCATGTCTTCAGACTTTGGCCCCAAAGCGTTTTGTACTGTTGCCTTAAAGGCGCATGTGACTCGCGTTAGGCGAAGGCCTTGTGCTTTGTGGGCCATCGCACTGGTCCACGCAAACCTGCCGCTGGAAGGAAATGCGTGTCAAATCCTGCGTTTACTTCCATTACTACCACAAACTGCCACAACACCTGGGCTGGTGGCTTCCAGTTTTCGGGATGAGTAACTTTATGAAGCTTTCGCGGCAGTCCCTACCTGTCATACTGTCTTACGTGGAGTGAATGATCGGCGTGTGCGTGGCACCCGTAGACATACCCTCTTTTCAGGTCAGCAACTCTGTCTATGCTCTTCCGCACTCGTTTGACTTTGTTTTGTCATCGCAAAGCGACACTTCCTTGAAGAAGGTGCGAAAGATGTCGGTGCGCTGAACTTCCAACTGCACCCTGTCCGAGTCATTTTGTCGCCAGCAACGACATCCACCAAGTGCCTCACTGAGTGGACTCGCCATCGGTGGTTTGCGCGTGCAGTAGTTTATAGTGAGATAGACTTACACAGCATATGTCTCACGCTCCCCTTCCCTTCCACCTTGTGCGAAGGATGGGACTGTATAAAGACGGTTAGCAGCGGTGCCTGACAAATCTGAACGGCGTGGCTTCACGTGTCACACACGACCTGGTCCACACAGCATGCTGATTTCACGTTAGTGGAGCCATTTTAGCCTGACCCTCACCCCCCCCCCCACAGTCACTTCACATTATTCACCATGAGAAAGCATCAGTTGACAGCCGTCAAAGCCACGCCTCTCAGTGTGTGTCCAAGTCTCATCCTAACTTTATATTCGCCCTCACCCATGCACTAATAGATTGTCCGAATCTGTCAGTCCGTGGGTGCGGTGGCGAAAAGGCCTACGTATAGACGCACCACATATGCAGCAGTAGTTATGAGCTCCCACGAACTCTGCGTGCCGCGGGCCAATCTGACCCTGTGATGGCCCAGCCCTAGTTATGCAAACAGCCACACATACGCAGGCCCCATTGACCGAACAAGCGCCCTCTATACCTGCAGGTCAACAGGTTCTCAGGATCAACGTGAGTGGTTGCTGCGGATCGCGACTCCGAGCAGTCAGTGCTGCCCTATCCGACACTGACATCACCCAGTCCTGCTTCCTGGTTGCCGGTGATGCCCCTTCTATCTCCCTGTGGGACTTGCGGATCGGAGATGCGGATGCCACACACAGGCCAGCTCAACGCTTCAACTACCAGGGCTATCCTGTCTCGGTAACAATATTCTTGTTTATGTAATAGTGACAGGCGCTCCGCCGTAATTACCTCTGACTTAAAAGAATACTCACCCTGGACAGTTTCCTGAATGGTTCCACTGTTCACACTGCCACGAACTTGTTACTTCCGCTGTTCGGGCAAAGGGCCGCACACCGATCACGCCACAGAACTCACTCATCCTGTCTTGCCTTGGAGTTCTTCCGGCCTTCTAGACCACAACTCTTGTCGTCCCTTACGCTATTCAAATGGTCCATTCTGCTGTTTATATCAGTTTCTCTCACTGTTGAAAACGCGATAAGCACCCAGGACTTTTGTGTGGTATTTCTAGATACTTAAAAGAGCCCTTAAGGCACAACGGAACGAGTGAGTTCCGTATGAACGATCGGTGAGCGCCCCCCCCCGCTACCATTGTATATTCCTGATCAAAATCCGACAGGTCAACGGGTTCGTGGCCCAGTGGTTAGAGGCGTGGACTTCTAACCAATAGGTCGCGAGTTCGAGCCTCGGGTGTTCCGCAGTTCGGGGTTGGGCATGATTGGCTGACGACGGCTAATAAGCCAGAAATGGCCATTCCAGTCTCCCTTGTCTTTGTCGGTAATGCCATTCTGCCTTGATGTTAGTTTTTATGTTACACGGCTTGTAGACATCAGATCTGCTCTGGCTGGCACACTCCGGCCACTTCGCCTCCTGCACGGACACTGTTCAACGGGACGTGACGGACAAGAGTGTGGCCGTGTGGGACCTTCGTCTGCAGTCCATCATCTCTCGACAGCTCTATCAGGTTAGTGACGCGGCGCCGGTGCACGCAAGGAAACACAGACTCCCTGCGGAACCTTCGAAGCGGTTGACCCAGTAGATTCATTTGCTAGAGATTTTACTTACTCTAACACTTCACTCAACGGACAAACGGGTGGTGGACGTACAAACATGTATTTTTTGTAGGATGTGATCACCAAAGGACTGCATACTTATTGATTTATGGATCTCATTCGTCGGAGATCTTGTTACTCGGTTCGATAACTGCCTGGTCGCTCACACCACGTGTTCTGATTTACGGCGACTTTATTATCGATTTTAATAGTTCGTGTGATAATTGCTCAGCGGTTTTGCTCACAAATATTATTTCCGACAACAGTAATATCCGCGGGCTCCCCGGGTGGCTCGGACGATGCAAATGAGGAGTGTGTGACCGAACGGGAAACAGGAGATCTGAGGTTATTGGTAAATAAGGCGGGTTGGGTAAGATGGTATGTGGCGGGAGAATTCAACTCTACCCCCTTTCCTAATGTTTAACCTAACCCCTAGGCCTATCCGGAGACGCAATACCAATATCGCATGTCAACTTAACTCGCATAAGTAGGCGCGTAGTGCTAATAAAACTGCGGATTTAGTGCTTAATCGACAGCGAGCCTGTCTGTCGGTGCACTGCGAGCCATGACTTACGAAGCTCGCTTCTTAGACGGCCGTCACACTTTTACGAGCGTTTCAGCCATTTTATACTTGAAGGTGTGGACGGGTTCCGTCGAGTGATTCGCGATCTGTGAGCTGGCATCATTCCTCATGACAACTGATGCGTGGTCGATGATCCCCAGGTGGGGCAAATCTCCCGTATCTTCGAAGTATTTGCTTTATATCGCAAGTGTTCACTTCAATGAGAACATCCGTGATGAGTATTCAGCGATCAGTCACTCGATTTGAGCCTGCCAATCTGTAGGAATTCGATCAAACGATGGCCATATCTTCTGGCATTGGACCCGAGACGTCAGGCAAGTCAGGCGATCACGTATACTTTTCAATTAGTGGCATTGACAGGCTCGTGAACAGACGGAAAAGGTGACGCATCTTGTTGGGAAACATGGCTTACTTTTTGAAAGGATTACTTTGGGTGGGTTGTAACACTGCTTATCTGCGTGTAGCTATAGCCCTAACCCCCACTGATACCGGGTGTCGACTGTGCCTTGATATTCGATATTTCACCTCCACCGAAGTAACCCTTTCCAGCTAGTGGGTCCTGTGCTTCGCCACCTACTGTACATTTCTCCTGCAAGCCCTTGGTCCTCCTCGAGGGCCGCGGGAAAGTCATCCCGCGTAGGGGGAGGTCTCCATCTGCAAGCTTTAAACTGCCGAGGCTAGGCCTCGCATGCCGGGCAGATGTCCCATCAACTGACTCGTTGCTGACCAGTCTCGCCCAGTGACCTCTGTGGACGCTCGATCTGCGAGCAAGAGCGTGGTGCGCGCCGTCAGCACAAACCATGAACTCCGTGCCCCCTGCCCTTGGTGCAGCGCCTTCATCGTGTGGTAGCTCACTCTCCCATATAGCTAACAACGTCCCACTTCCGGTATGTCGCCGGCAATGGTGACCTTGCCGGTATATCGATCACTGATCGGTCAATTAGTGGCGTGGACATAATGTCTCCTCCGGCCTACGCTGGTCAGCGCTACCTCCCCGGTCCTTCTGCACACTGGCTCAAGAAGGACTGTCTAGTCAAGTCTGTTTCTTTGCCATCTGAACGGAAATTTCACTAATGTGATTGGCAGCACAACAGTCCTCTAAACACCTGACCGATGCGCGTTGGTTCGTCGACACTCAGGTTTCCGTCGCAGAGACTGGGGAGGTGTGTGGGCGGACTTCGTCAGACCCACAGACACAGACCGCCGCTTGTTTAGGAACATCGTGCAGGCGGACTTAGTGGACATCACAACAATAAGCAATCCTGGACATTGGTGTGGCAAAATGATTACTGTCCGGCCTGTCACTCGCATGTTTCCAGTCCTATCTGCGCTCCAGGTAAGATGCACCGAACAAACTACTGCTAATTTAGGAAAAATGAGTCTAATGAGTGGGACATAGTTTCCCGCCTACTAGAGGCGACCGCCAGCTGGAATTTGTAACTGTTACAGGTCACAAGCGAGTGAAGGACAATTAGCGAGTCCCCACGAGGGGGTTCATAGTACTGACAGAAGTAGAGAGCCCGGGCGGGGGTCGAGGCGATCGCGTATTCGGTGGCCATCCGTAGGCCCAGTAGGAGTACGCCGGCGCGTACCGATCAGCAAGCGATAACTGAGAACGCGCGCGCTTTCTCTCTCTCTCTCAGCCCTCCTAACTTCACTTCTGCTCCTCTTATTTTTTTCTCACAGGAAAGATGGGGCTGCAGCCGAATGGCGCTTGCAAGAACCGGTTCCCACTCCTGTCGATTTGCCGTGCAGACCCAGGGCGGAGGGATAATCGAAGTTGTGGGCGGTCGGGATACAAAGCGGCAGTATCGGATGCGGAGAAATCTCACAACTGATGATCCCCGCGTGGCTTCTTCTTCTTCTCTGCCATTCGCTGACCCCCCGCTCGCGCCAATCTCTTACCGACTGGAGCGCCGTTGGCGCTATGAGGAGCACGAGGTAAATGCTCCTTCCTTTTTGCGGTGCGACAGAATAGCATTACTGACAGGACAACGGGCCCGCGACCCAGTGGTTAGGGTGTTGGACTCCTAACCAGTAGGTCGGAACTCGAGCCACGGGGGGTCGGGTGCCTCTCGAGATTGGGTGGCTGGCTGGTTGGCCGATTACGGCCGACAGGCCAGACGTGGTCATTTCATTCTCTTTTGTTTTTGCCGTTGCTGTGCCGGACTCGAGAGAAATCCCCAGGGCAAAACGGGACGAGTGAATTCCGTAACACGATCGGTGAGCGCCACCCCCCTCTGCCACTTTCCTTAATGTTGAACAATTAATGTGTATGGGGGGGGCGGTTTGACAAGCTAGGTCACCAGAACAACGCGGAATGCAGCCTTTTTACAGCCACAGAAGTTTATACGAAAGTCTAATCTGTTGCAGATCTTTGATCGAGGTGCCTACAGTCTACCCCAACAGATTGCCGTGAAATTTCACCTTCTTTCTGTCTCTCCTACTGGGAACTCCGGTCGGTCCCTGCCCAACCTAGCTGGGTTGTACAGCAGGATAAGGATGTGACACAACTTTCCTTTAAGTTGGCGCTAACTGTACACCTCATTAAATGAGCTCGCATGCTGGGAGTATAGTCTAGGACGAAAGCGAGAAGTCTACTGCTTAGTGGCAACGGAATCAAAGCGGGGGCCGATCCTGCCCGTGGATGAACTGCCTAAGGATTGATGCCAGGAGAGTGGTTATATTCCAAGTTATCTGCGGCATGCGTACATCAAGCAGAGAGACTGCGTCTTCGGCCGTGCATTCTCTGGACCACTTTGTATAAACAGGCCACAGCTATAATTTGCCCCTTTGCAAAGTCAGCGTCTCCCAATGTTTCATCCCGACTGGATTCTTGCAGATCTTTTAGGCCGCCTTCATCCTGTTGCGTGATCAGGCATTGTAGGCAAAATAAGCACATATGGATCACGTTGCTTTATTTAACTCCTAAAACATCGATTTAATCAAGTACCCAAACTTTAAAGAAGGGTTCGATTTCCAGTTGCCTACTCAACACGCCTAGTCTCTTCAGGGTCTCAAGCGTCTAGTCTCAGCCTAAATGTCGACAAGTGGGTCTGTGCCCCTCGGTCGCTTCTCCTCCCAACCCCGATATTTTCTTGATTGATGGTCCGCTGAGCCAGCTGCGGACGAATCCGATTACAGTCAGAAGTAGCCTGACATCATCATCATCATCATCATCATCATCATCATCATCAGCGACTACTGCATCCTGCCGCATTGCGCATGCTCCTAGCATTTGACTTCGATGTCAATGATTCGAACCGCCTTTTTCATTCATTGGCTCACTGGTCGCGTTTTTATCATCTCTTCCACCGACAGACTCAAGCTCGTCCTCTGGGTCTCGCCTACAGCCCAGATAACAGGCTACTCGCCAGCGGTTGTTGGGGTAGCGACGGGCCGGTGGTCTATAGGAGTCCCTGGCGGAAAGGCCCCCACTCCGTAGAAGGGGAGGAGGCAGCGGCGGCCTGTCTTCGTCTCGGCAAGGCCATCCGAGGTGTCCTCATCAGCGACGTCGCCTGGCTGCCTATCGGCACACTTGAAGTTGACGGACAAGCTCTGGTTGCTGTTAAAAACAACTGTGATCTGGGCATCTACCGAATTTCTCAGCCCATGTAAAGTGACTACGCGCCTGTACATATGTGTAAACAAGCATAAATATCTACTTTTAGTCAAACCATGCACTGTCTTTGGCCTCGTTCATTTGTGGAAAGAACTGTGGAGATCGTGTTTCACATCCACAAGCCGCGTAACAGTTCGACCGTCGTTGCTGACGATTTCGACTGTGTGCTCCACAGCGGGGCGAGAGCAGGGACGTTGACTTGGGCGCGAGTAGACTTGTGTAGCGTCTGCCGCACCTGGGCCTGGTGTCATGACAGCCAAGGAAACCGGAGGTACGAGAGGGCAAAGGTGGCTAACGCGGCGTAAACCCACACCTAGGCGTGCCAGCACACCTGGCACTGACCTGAACTTCACACAAAGAGAGGAGAGTGGACCGGCTCCATCCCCAAGGCACAAACACACACTTGGCTGACTGCGAGTTCCTTCGTCAGTTGGTAACCTTCCAAGCCACGGCGCTTAGCGTACTTGGACCAAACATGCAGCAGAGGAGCGGTAACACACTTTCCGAGTGGTGCCAATTGCGTGCATGCGTTGTGCAGTGTTTGATGTAGTCAGGAGTGTCGTAGGTACTGGCGAGGAGAGATATGGTGGTATGGTATAGCCGGCGATGTTCTAATGGAGGTTTTCGCGGAGGCTTATATGGCCTAATATGTCCATGCGATGGCCGAATGCGCAATGGCAGTGCGTTCAGTTAAAGCGATGGAGTTTGTCGTGTCAGTGCTTTAGAAACTGGTTCGCCAGTCTCTATGCGGTTGATTCGCAAGTGACCGACCAGGCCGATGCGTGGTGCAGACGCGCGGCGACAATGTGCGCAGGGTGGGTTGGGGGGTGTTGGGTCGGTTGGCGGTCCGAATCTGAAGCATTTTGTTACAATTAGTACCATCTGACGTGCATTAGACAGGGGCGCCAAACCTCGTTTGCAGTCGTCATGGGTCGGGTCTGCCATCTGAGCAACCCGATATCATGTCCAAACGATACCAGCTGTGTGGGGTTGTCGAAATTTCACAGAAGGGCGTGTTTCTCGACGCATGCTACGCGCCTGGTCCATGCTTTGCCAATGTTTCGATATGGTACATAGAGCTTTTGTCACGTACTCGGCTACGAAACTCTTAACCTTCCGCTAGACTATTGCTGGACGGTCAGGTGGTAACACAAATCCGGTTCCGGTCTACGAAGATCAACATTCTCTAGTCAGTATCGCGTCGAAACGAAGGCCCAGATCGGTTCACCGTAGGGTTGTTTGAAGTGTTGCCTGGCCTAGTTCGGTGGTGGCCTAATCAGTGATAACAGTTAGCAAACAATTCTTGCAGTCGCAAGTAGTCTGACTTATTACACTGACCGGTGACACGTAGTCGTGCATACACCTACGGACCACGGACTGTTTTTCATGCACGTAATGAGTAGCTATCCATTCCCAGAATGCGGCCGTCACACCACGCCCCGCTAGAACAGTCGCTATGATGAAAAATTAAAGACCTCCCCCCTTTGGAGATCTTGATTTCTATTGGACCCGAGTCTGGAAACTAGACAGACTGCAAACACATGACCGGCTAAAGATGGCGCGTTGATAGGCCTTGTATGTAAAGGTCGGGGAATGCTCTCACCCAGTTCCTATTGGGACCTTAACATGGATCATAATAGCGTGTTCGTACACTCATTTAATGAAGTTCCCGGAGACATTTTATTGCATACTGGCCCCAAACATCCTTCTGCATTGTGTATTTAAGGTTGTCTCCTCTAGCGCTGAGTTCCGATAGAACATAACCACAAGTGATGGCCGTCGAAGCTGTTTAATTGCGGTCCACATTTTTCATGCACCCAGTGCAGTCGGGGGGTCAGACCTTAGCAATCCGCTAGCAGCACTGCCGCCAGTTCTTGATCGTTTTTTTTTCACCAGACGTAAGTCTGCCTACTTTGCGGTTGGCCTTTGCCGAAGGAAGGTCCACTGCTCGTCACCCGTTGACGTGTCGGACAGCTAAACTTGATCCACCACAAGTGGCAGAGGGTGATTGGCTGAATCATATTTCTAACGAAGAAAACAAGCGTTCTATCCAGGACAAAGATTGCGGCCCGGACGTCCATCCATCGGAGCCCGATTCAGGCACCCAAACACCCAAGCCTACCTGTTCGAATGTCACTAGTTCCATTCTATATGCAAGGAACTGAAATTTCGATGAACCTGCATCTCAGTCTTGTCTACGACTTAACCCTACTGATGACAGGATTGACACGACATACATTTAGCTCGATTTCGCGACGGGAGAACATTTCTGGGGATTGGAACATAAAGCTTTGGTATCAATGAATTGGGATTCCTAGGACTAGGGAATATCGAATCAAATACAGAATTTCGGCCTGCCATCTGCATCAACGCACATAACATCCAGATGTTCTCGTTTGCTAGTGCTGCACGTTGTGTCAATCTTCGAAATACTCCAATGTTCAAAAGACCAGAAACCACGACCGCTCTGGTCACACACCAACTGACTCAACATAAGATGAATATTGCCATCTTTTCGGGGTAAAGAAAGCTGAAATAGCAGTCACAGATAAAAATCGTATGAGGTTGAGGTCTCCCCACATCGCATCAGTGAGCATACCACTCATGATCTCTAACATATCCCAATCTCATGAACTTTAATGTTGGCAAGCAGTTATTGAAAGGAACGCCCAGACGCTGATAACAGTTATCGATCCGACGGACAGTTTTCCGAATACGAAAAATGCACTCCGCTGCGGGAGTCAACTGGTTAAACATGCATGGCCTTCTCCGCGCCGATGGTTGCGAACTGAATTTCCCCACAAAAGTAGACATTCAGCACAACCAGTCAATTTCCATCTCTAGATGCATTTTTTTGGACGGTTCTGGGTACAGAGAAGCAATTATTAATGATAAGTCAATACCATCGAGCGAATGAAAGCAACGATCAGCATCAACACTCATTTCCAACTCCAATCCATCCATCGCACATTGTGAATCAGAATCGTGCTGGTCGAGCAACACTGCGTCTATCTCCACATAACCAATTCCATCCCTCTGGACAATTCCGTCAACACGGCGTAAAGCACGCGAAACCCAGAAACTAGGCTACTCTAGGTCACAGAACCCCACCCAGCAACCATTCTCCTATGTCGGCACGCCCATCCTATGGTCTCAACGCGAGGTAGGACGGGTGGGGCGCGATGTGGGATTCTTGCAAACGGGTCCATACATACTGCACTCAACGACCACGTACAATATTTCGCCAGAGGTAAACTCATCGGACGCACGTGAGCACACCTAAGGGCATACTACCAAAATACGATGTCCATTACCTAAATCGCAGCTTAACGAGTGTGACTACAGTCGATTTTAGCAGGCAAGCTCCCAAGAGCTCTAGCCACTGTTCATTCAAATGGCAGGAGAGAGAAAAGGAATTAAAAATATACTTTTATGAAGAACATGCGTCCAGAGCCATAGGGGAGGACATGTGCAAACTGATGGGTATGTCTTTTGGAAATTTTAGGAACTCCGTACGAGGTCCCCGAAGTTTGAGCAAGGTGGGTGCGGAATGCATTACTGCAATTGAAGTATACCACATAAAAGGTCAACAGTAGGAAAAGCCTTGAAAGTACACAATGCGCCCGAAAATCTGGATGAAAAGGTAAGACCGACGAGACAGTCAAGACGGTTTGGACTTAATAGGGACTTCATGGACAGTGGATCGCAAACGACGAACACCCCAATTGCAAACACAGTAAATGGTAGCAATAAAGGAACAGACAACCCATATAATCAGGATCCATGCGAACCAGGTCAATTCTAGTATGTGGGACATGTTTACCACCTGGAAAAATCGGTTTAAGCGCAATTAAGTCAGTTAACTTAAACACCGGTCGATGAAAGGCAAAGATGATGAAAGTAGCTGTATGTAAAGACCCCAGGATGCCTGCTCATTTTGGCACGATTTATGCGGATATTAAGGACGAAAGAGGCGCAAAAAGGCCAAAAACGAGTAAAGAATTGGGTTAGTACCTTCGTATTTGAGGAGCGATAACCGCAGTAAGAACAGTGCGACATCAAGAATACTAGTGAAGCAGGCAAGAATTTGAAGGCCGAAGGCAAGGTTCAAAGAACGAGGAACTTTTTGTCAAAGAGAATGTTAGGATACCTAGGAAATTTGTGGGCAATCAAATAAGGGACGTCGGAAGACCTGAAAAAACTGGAAAGAAGTCCAGACAGTGTTCATAAAATAGCAACAAAATAAAATTTACCAAAATTAGTCATTTGGAAACTGCGTTAAAAATTCTGGCGAGAATAGCAAGAAACGTTATTTGCTCTTGCTGTAACAGTAAGCAATGTCACTCAGCCATTACTTATCCCCAAGTATACCTATATCACCTTTGACCGCTTTATCTCCCCCGAGGGCTATTATATATTTTAAATAATCTGTCTGACAAACCATGCTGACCTTTTCAGATAACGTACTCCAAGCGTTTTCTTCGTTAGTTATGCTATTGGAAACTGACGCACAAAAATTGATACATAATATCCACGATGTCTACCTAGGTGCACTTTTTTATGTTAGTGCCATGACCTCACCACTTTCCCTTCGTTCTGTCAATTTGGTCCCATTTGAATCCAAGCCAATTTATCACACTCTAAAATTAACGACAGTCAATGCAATAAGCAAAATGTTGCGATTTGCTATTATCGTGTGTGTTCATTTCTCAGGGTATTTAAGAGGAATTTGCCTACGGTGTCCAATTCCATATTTGTCACAAATAAATCGGACGAATTGGCAATATTTCATGAAAATTCCAACGTTAAATAGAACAGAGTTGGTTTTGCTCAAGTACGTTTGCTTATGAGCTTACGTGGTCACATTGACCAGATGTCAAGGTCGAGCCGCTAGTTTTAAATTTGAAGATAAGTGGAGGATATTATTTTGAGTGGTTTTTCTGAGAGACCTGACGATTTAAGCTCCTGTTTTTTGGTTGAATTTCCCTAAATACAG